GAACACACCCGGGCATTTGATTTGATTGGTTATGATAGTGTAAATGCCCGGTGCCGGGACACAACTTGAAGACTAATGCACAGCCCCTGGGCAAGCTGAGAGTGGAAAATGCCCCACCCCGGGGACAATTTACAGTCGATTTCACGAAACTTTGACCACAAATGTTCCGAACTTCGTTGCGAACTTTGTTGCGAAGTTCGGAAGCTCATATTGGAATTCACTTATTCACAAGCCAATTTGTAAACAAAGTCCCTGATTGGTCCGTGAAGTAAAAGAAGCCAATCAAATGCGTAGTTTACAAACTGGTTTGTGAATCTCATTATGGACTTTTGAACTTGTGGTCAAAATTTGTGGTCAAAGTTTCGTGAAATCGACTGTAATTAAACTTTTAATGGCATATAATCATAGTCATTTAATAACATTATAGTATTAAACTGTTATGGAATATTATAAAACATAAACCTTTAATAGTTGTATTTAAATTTGCATGGCACAGGGTATAATTTTCGCTTATTCTTACAATAAATTTCACGCCACCTTGACCACGAGGGCGCAAAATACGATCAGCGCGCCCACATGCGTGCCTGAAACTAGGTTTTGCTGCCTTAAAATTTGTGGGTGGGATTAATTTGGTCAACCATTTGTCAAATCCCCGGGGTCCTCCAATACTCGACCCCCGTGCACATATATGAAAGGCAAATTCCCGACCCCTGTGAACTGTCTATCGGGCAAATTCCCGGGGGTGTCCCGGGGGGGGGGATGGTTACTCCAGGAATTGACTCATGCATTATGCAATAATGTTGTTAGTGAAAATGGCTTGCCACATTGTGCACATGGCGCAGCTAGTGCCCAACCATGGTGCAGTAAGGGCCTCTCCGCCTCTCGTCACAGATCTGTGGTGGGAAGGAATGGCAGGAAGCTCCCACCAAGTAACATTTGGTGTTTTGGAAACATTTGGTAGCAGTAAAGCTAATTTTGTCTGGTCTTTGATTTGAGCCTTTGATTTGGAGAAACATGAGACGTGCATGATCAGCTATGTTTTTAGTTTGTTTTTAGAGTCTGTTTAAGTTTGTTTTTAGAGTTTGTGTAAATTTCTTTTTAACTCAGTTCTGTAAACACATTTGTAATTCGCTATACTTTTATAGCGTTAATAATGTTGTCAATAAACACACCTTATTATTTTACTAAACAATGGCCCAATTGACGTACGTACGTCATTGTTGGCAAGTAAACGTTTAAGTAAAATTTAAAAGGTCTGGAAGGTTCGTTCAACAAATTACGAAATGGCAGACCATCCATGCCCGCATCTGGCGGAAGAAATCTCACCAAGAATGCGGTCGGTAAAAATTATAGAATGCATACTGTCTCTTCCATTTGATCGAATGATCGTTATCTCTTCTTTATACAATCTTACATAACCTTATATTTTCATGTACACTAGATAAGTAGATATAAACAGTTTGTAAAGCATGTTATGAGTCAGAAACAAATACTTACAGAAAGCAATCAGCTTGTATCGTTCTTCCTTCTCTTCGCTGATCGTGCTCAATAATACAAGTCAACAACCATCTTTGTTTTTCTGTACAGTGTTACACGTGTGATTGTGGAAACACGCGAACAGGGGGGAGTTTAACGAATAAAAATCAGGGAGGGTGGAGGGGTGCTATCAAGGTTTGTTTGCTTAATATGGAGTTAGTCCCAGAAAATGACAAGAAATGGATGAAAGAGTGCTTGTTGACGGTAATTATGTTTCGTTACTGTAACTGCTATAAAGTACTAATTTTATATAGTACCCTGCAGCTCAGCTACCTCTACAAAATGTCACTGCTACCGCCTGTGCTAGGGGCTGCTGCCTGCCTTTTATTATTTAGGAGGGTGTTGTGAGTCGTGATGATCAATTTCGGTATCTTTTCATGGCAGGGGTAATTTGCAGAAAGCCACTTCTGTACTTTCGTTCAGCTTTTTAATATGGGGTTAGGACTCTCACCCTAACATTTTCGGACAGCTTTTACGTATCACCGCTGAGCAAAAGTACAGAAGTGGCTGGCGTTCTGTAAATTACCCCTGCCCATCTTTTCATGTCACGCAATCATGAAACCTTATCCAATCACAAACCCTAACCACTTATATTTTGTGATTGTGTGACATGAAAACGTAACATCAATTTCGGTTACCGTCAGTCGTGAAAACACAAAAATTTTACCGTGAAGAGTGAAGGGGAAAATACTGTTTATTGTTTCAGAACACTTTTCAGCAGATTCAAAGATTTGCCATTGAAATACCACAATTTTTACCGTTTACTGATTTTCAGACCCAACCCCCCCCCCCCTCATCTAGACCCTCATTTAGGCCTGAACAGTTGGACCATTATTTGTCCACTGTCTGCCACTGACCACCCAGCCAGACTGTAAAGTTTTATTTCTGCTCTGGGAGTGGCAGTTGTGTGGCAATGTAATGCATAGCCAGATATTGTATGAGGAAGGGTCTTGATGGGGTGAGTCGTGATTCACTCAATTTCGGTTACCGTCAGTCGTGAAGACTAAAAATTTACCGTGAAGCATGAGGAAAAAAATACTGTTTATCATTTCAGAACACTTTTCAAAGATTTACCGTTAGAATACCAAAATTTTACGATTAATTTAAAATACCAAAAATGTTACCATTTACTGATTTTCAGGCCCCCCATCTAGACCCTCTTGTATGCATGGCCAGACAGTCATTTACAGTACTAGTACTATATAATAATAAATAAATATATTTGACCTCAATACAAAATAAACTAAATAAATGCATTAATTCATGAAAAATACATAGAATTTGTGGGATTTCATTGAAAATGGGTGGACAGAAGTCAAAGCTGAAATATTTGCACAAGGAACATACAGACCAAAGTTTACCATCTGGCCACCCAGTATTACCAGTATGTGAAGTGGTCTTTGACAAATAGATTTCTTCCTGTGATTTTGCTCTTGTTCTCCCAATTACTCTCCCCTCCACACTCTTTTCCTTCCAAATGTGGGCCTTTTGTAATTGTTTCAAAAGTTGAGGAGAAACTTGGGGTGGGGGGGGGGGGCTGGGGTTGGAACCTCACAATGCTTTCATATATGGCATAAAATATAGTATTACCAAATCTGACTGGCTTTCAGATTATCATAAAAAGTTTCTAAAATGCATGAAATAGCATTTTGGAGACCCTAAAAGTAGAAACGTTTTCTGGGGGACCATGCCCTTGGATGGCTGGACCGTCTATTATTCTATGATTAGACCGCCAACTTGTTTGGTGCTGGCTGCGTCTGTCTGTGGCTTCACAGATATATTGCTATTGTGTGTGTAAGTAGTGTGTCTGTGTTGAATGGCTTGTAATTATGCAAATATGTGATGGCATGTAATGATGACATGTAACACATTTATATTCACTAGACAGTAGTATAAACAGGGATGTATCTACTGCGGGGGGGGGGGGTGCACCCCCAGGAGGTGCGGGGGGGGGGCTATTTTTCATGATAAAGCAAAAAATCATTAGAGGCAAAATGAGATACTGACAGTAATTTGAGTAATAACATGATGATAAGCAAACTGTGAACAACAATTACAATTCAAATACAGTAGTCAATCAAGCAAGACTTTGCAATAGTGAGCAAGTTGATGGGTGGGCAGCACACATGACCAACATAAC